AGGGGTTCCCAACCAGGGGTGCGAGACAATATTCCAGGGGGTGCAAAAACTTGGGTTTTCAAAATTATAGTGTATATGAATAATTTCGACCTTTTGTAAGGGGTGCGAGAATATATCAGAAGCGTTCTAGGGGTGCAGGGTATAGAAAAGGTTGGGAGCCGCTGATCTAGACTTTCTAAGTATTACTGTTAAGATGCAACTTGTTATGATGTAGTAAAAGCAATGTTTATTACAAACTTACTTTCTCAGGGTTCCAAGTTCAGTTTTAATAGTTTTCATAAAAATACATCTCTGGATTTTAAGGCAAGGGTGCAAAAGCCTTTTTTAGTTGTTACTGGTGTTAGACAAGCTTGTTTATCCATTGCAGATCACTCAAAGATCTATTAGTATTCTGTCCATCTCAGCTCTCAAGTAACGGTAAGAGTCTTGAAATCTGGTTTGGAAGTACTATGAATTTAGATCTCTGAAAAGAGACTGAGCTGAATATATATTATCTGTTGTTCATTGCTGTCTGTCCTTTGTTGTGGTTAGCAGAATGAAAATGAATTATACGAAGTAATACATTTAAACTTGCAGGATATCTGGAGATTTGAAAATTCGTATTTTTGGTGCAGAAATTATATTAACTTTTTTTGCTTCGAAAGAGCCAATTTTACAGTCCAGTTAGTCATTTATATGGCATAATTCTGCAACAGAACAAAGCCATTAATAAATAAAGGATTTCATACATTTGGTGTAGTTTGCACCAGCAGCAACTAAAACTCCTGAATTACTGTTAATATTATTTGCATTTGGGAGGATTTTAAAACCATTTTTTATATTTTTGTTTATAAGTTAGAGATATTAATTATTAAATACTGCAAGAACTTGAAATAAAGAGTTGGGATACTCCCTATTAACCAATTACATACTGTAATTATTTAAAGACTACCTTAATTTAACAACAAAAATCATGTTTTTAGGACCCCTCAACATATTTTTAAAGGAATCAATGCCATTGTGCTGAAAGGCTATATAGTGAGAGGGATCGTGGAGTTCCAGTGGACAATCACTTAAATACAAGCCAACACTGTGCTGCAGCTGCCAAAAAAGCCAAAGCCAAAGGCTGCATTAACAGAGGGATAGAATCAAAATCACATGAAGTGTTAATACCACTTTATATTCTTTGGTGAAACCACACTTGGAATACTGCATCCAGTTTTGGTCACCATATTATAAAAAAGATGTTGAGACTCTGGAAAGAGTACAGAGAAGAGCAACAAAGATGATTAGGGGACTGGAGGCTAAAACATATAAAGAACGGTTGCTGGAATTATGTCTAGTTTAATGAAAAGAAGGACTATCACTGGAAGTTTTTAAGAGATTGGACAACCGTTTATCTGAAATGGTACAGGATTTCCTGCCTGAGCAGGGGGTTGGAGTAGAAGACCTCCAAGGTCCTTCCAACTCTGTTATTCTGTATTCTGTAGTTGTAAAAAAAGTGAGGGATCAAAACTGATGGAATCTTGCTGCCCAGTTTAGTAAAATAAACTAAATCCAAGTCATAGGAGAAAGAAAAACAAAAAAAATCAAACCAAGCAACAATTGAATTAAAACCTTTTTATTTAAAATTCAATAATACAGAATGTTCCTATAATCATAAACATTTCTAATAATCAAATATCAAAATTATTACAGCGTTATAGCATTACTAGTCCAAAAATGGTTTCCATGTAGAAACAAAGTTAGACAAAATCTTTTCTTTAATCAAGATAGTTAATTTTGCCAGTTCATTAACTTTGCTATCCATTTTTCTGCTGTGGGAATCTGTAAGTTTTTGCATCTCTGTGCAATTGTGCATATGCACATTTTATTGTGCATACAAATATATATATAATATTTCTGTTATATTTAGAAAGTTTTTTCTCCAACTGCTTATCCATCAAACTTTAAAAGAAAAATCTCTACTTTCAATTGTATGTTTTAGGAATTCTGAATTACAGTGCTATTTGATCCTGTATTTGATCCCAATAAGCAATTTCCATATGTTTAATTTTAAAACAGTTATAACAAATGTGGTAATATCTATACGGGATAGAAATTCGTTAGGTGGCAAGGTTTTTTTTGTTTTTTGTTTTGTTTTGTATACGTTAATGCCTTGGTCAATAGGTCTTTTCAGAACAATTTTTGATATTTACCTCAGAATTAAACATATGCAGTTTATCGCTTACGGTATACCATTGTCGGATGTGTATTGCATGAAGGCACTATGTTTAGAGAGAATACTGAGAAACAATCTAATCAGTTGTTTTGGTTGCAGAGAATTACATCATAGAATTTCTGTCATTGCTGATTTTTTTTTTTTTAAGTTTTGAGATTGGTACTCATTTTACAATTCTCGCTTGGTTGACCTAAGATAGGAAAGAAGAAGGAGAAGAAGGATTGTTAACCCAATCAGAGTTCCAGTGTTGATCTAGTTTGAAATGTCATGTCATCCATGAACTTTTCCAGCAGACGATCTCTTCCCCTGTGCTGTTTTCTAGTTCCCTCAAATCTTCTACATCTATAATAGGATAAAGGACAATTTTAAAATGTTTTAACTATTTTTAATATGCTACAAATATGTTTAAATGTGGCATGCTGGGTGGGCTGCTCGGAACCAGTGTAACTTTTATTATTTTTAATTAGTAGCCACTGTAAGAGAGTTGGGTAAGCTGCATCATTTGGTGGTTAAGAAACACTCCTAATTGATTGACGGAAATCTTTGTAAAAGCACGGATGGTCACTTTCTGCAGAATTATAATCTTGCTGCTGTACATAATGAGGTCAGTGAAGCAGCAAGCAAGAAAATGTAGAATTCTATAGCATGGATCTGTAAGCACAGCACTGTCTAGGCTATTTAAGTTTAATGAGGCAGCTACTGTGCTGCTGCATACGATCGCTGAACAGTCTCAGCATGTATTTCAAAACTAAAATGTAGCTCATAATCCATGTCCATATGCTGTAGAAGATGAGACTTTTCTGTTAAGTCTGCATTCTTCTGCATTCTCTTTAGTATTAATGGTATCAGAATTTGTTATTTGTTCTATTTTATTGGAAATGAGTATCGGGATGCTACTGTTTTTCTTCCTTGTCTTCAGAGCATTGGCACTACCACATAATAGTACCTTGGAAGCATTCAGATTCCCTGGAGAATATCCACTTTCTTCAAGGTTAAAACAGCCACTAAAAGAAGGGTAGTGTTCTCAAACATTATTTTCTTTAATATTTTGTAAGCATGCAAACAGCCGAGCCATCATTCATGTTATATAGACATTATGAATAATTTTCTTGCCTCCACTAATGTTTCAGAAAGTATTGGAGTGCCCAACAAATGACTGTGGCCCCAATGATCAAACAAAGCTAATCCAAGGCTGATCTCAATCTTTCCATGCTTTGAGGTTACACAGATTGTTTTTTTAAAAAAAATAGTATTAATGTGTAGGGTGCTGTATCATGGCTTTAAATGTACTTTGGGTGTGGGCCAGTCCCCTTGTGCATTTATATTTGATAATTCAGCCAATTACATCAAACTAATAAAGTGAGATGAGCAAAATGTACCAGTTCAAATTTCGTATCTTCTTATTACTTTTCATCAGGAGTCAGAGAAGGGAGAATTGAGAGAATGAAAGGGGTGAGCAAATCCAAATTTTCTTTTTTGATGCTTTGTCAGGCCCAATAAACTTTATTCCAAACAGCTTCCTAAAAATCATGTGTGCACTCACTGTAATGAAGAGCACTGGAATCTAGTATGTTCAGAATAGAAGATCAATTAGACTGCATGTGCATTTGATCATAGAAGGTCACATTTTTACCAAAGTGCCCCCAAATAAAAGACCCCTTTTGCCCTCCCCGCCACCTCATTCAACTTTCTTTTTTATATTTTGGGAACTATTACAGTAAGATATTGCATTGATCTGTGAAGGAAGACTCCGAAAACTGTTCCATTTTATACTGACTGCCACGTATGGCAGGCTATGACATGTACCATTTTTAAAACAAATGAAATTATTGAATAATAAAAAATAAGAATACCCCTGGGTATTTTCACTGTTTGCGCAAATAGTAATAAGCACAATTCTTGTCTTACACTTAGTTCTGTTAAGATCTCGAGAAACTGTAACACCCTCACTAATACCTTGACTGAGAGTGAGAGTAGAATTTTCTTGATAAATTAGTTCACATATTTACATATTATTCTTCTGGGAGCTTGTTTATGTGTAAAAGCTGATCCCATACACAACTGTTTTTTTTTCCTCCTCTCTCTCACTTTTAACTTGCAGCATATATGCATGCAGGCTACTTTGAGGTGATCAACAGCCCTTCCCTCATTAAACGTTAATTTTGGTGTTTTGCTCCATTGCTTGATGATGTAATGCACTTAGCAATAATGGATGGTTTCCTGAGAGAGATTGTAAGTTTCTTGTCCTCTTTCTCGTGAAAGGCATAACTTTTTGAGGAGAGTCTTGTGTAGAATTGACGAGATCAAAAGCAAAATCTGTTTTGCCCTGTGCAACCAGCAAGAAGTATTTTGTGGTGGTAGACAAGTGGGGGAGAGGAAGGGGAAGCAGTGAAAAGAGACTTTCCATTTGTTATCAAGACGCTGATGATTGTGGAGAAACATAAAGAAATAAACACATATGCTTGCTTCATAGAGATACAATTTCTCAAGCCCACATTTCAAAGCTGCCCATCCCCCACCAATAGTAAGAACATGAGTTTTTTTTCCCTAAAGAGAGAAAAAAAATCACTCATTTTCCTAGAGAATCAATAAGGTAGCGTTGTACATCGCGGTGCTCTCTGCATTGTTATCAATCTTTGCTTTTCCCCTTTTGTGCTTTACAGAAAAAAAAACTATAACAAGAAATGATGCTGTTTTGAGTTCTGTTGAATATTAATGAATAAAGATGCAGGTGGTCTGTATTCAGTCTTTGCAGCCTGCTCTTCAGTAAATGGTTTTCTAATCTTTTTTCCTAGATGGAAATCCTGTATGAATGTGGAAGCCATTAGCAGAGTAATTGCTGTCTGTTACCATGACAACCAGCCGCTGCAGTCACCTGCCCGAAGTCTTACCAGACTGCACCAGCCCAGCCACTCCTGTGGTAAAGACTGTGGAGGACTGTAGCAGCCTTGTGAATGGACAGCCGCAGTATGTCATGCAAGTTTCAGCCAAGGACGGACAGCTGCTATCAACTGTAGTACGGACTCTTGCCACTCAGAGGTACGGTCAGTTAGTTATAGCAAACCCAAGACATGTCTGGTTGCCTATTCAGCGGTGCTGGAGGAGTAAGGGCAAAGAACGGAGGGGATGTGGTTGTGAGATCTGAGCTCCTGTAGTCCTACTTGGGACTTTATTTTTAAGGCCAGACTAAGCACTCTCTGTTTTTGTCGTGGTTAGATTAAAGGCTACTGTTCTGCATGCTCCTGTTTCCGTGAGGCACTCTGAGCAGACTCAACACACAACTTGCACTCTTAAAGCGTTCCTCTTTTGAATTCAGAATGAATTTTGTAAGCTGACAATAACTTTGTGAATATCTCTAATGCGTAAAACTTGCTCGTTTTCGTTCGGTGCAGGAAAAGGTGGGGAAATAGCTGGGAGACACGGGCTGTAAAGTGAATAAGATGCAATAAATCCTTCCGATTTGGAAAAGAAAACTTTAGGAGTGACATCCTGCTGACTTGTGCATGCTGCTCATTGCAAACTGTGTGCTTCTGTATGAATGATTGATAGAAGAAGATTTTTTAGGTTTTCTCTCATCCAGTGTCAGAGTGTTATGGAGCTTCTTCTTTTTTTTTTTTTTTTTACTCTTTCATGTCTGGCTTATATTTCTACAGCCAGGGAGCCTCCTAACTATTTGACACAATAATCACTGGCTGCATGGTTTTTCTCAAATGTGCTTCATGAATAAGTCTGACAGCTGGAAGTCATATTACTGTTAACTTATGGGAGGGTGCATGCTGGCAGGGACTGATGGGCATTGTAATACAGTACATCTGAAAGATTCCAGATTGGGGGAAACTGGCTTATTTATTTTCCCTGAATGTTGTTGAGTCATTAATAGGTCTTTATTCTTTAAGTTAACTTTAATGCATAGATACTCTCTCACAAACAGTAATTGTTAAATGCATCATGGCATATATATTGCCTGTTATACAATTAGCCAATTCGACCAGAGATTAATACTGGAAAACCATTTTGGATTGTTAGAAAAAGGTATTCCTTTTCCTTACCTTAGCACAGCTGTATATTCATACCTGTGATGTAAACTATGTTAATAAAATACACATAACATTTTTGATGTGCTTTTTCTTTACAAAACAGATTATTAGAAGTTTCTGCAGAAAGTTTAAGTCACTTATATAAAAAACTAAAGTTTCAATTGCAGGTTACCATGATAGATCTGCCTTAGAATAAACACCTTTTCTAACAGTCAGTTTCTGAAATTTGTCCATTTGTCTTGTGTTGGTTTCTTTTTTTTCTTAAAAAGCAGCACACGTAGGATTCTTTCAATCCTGCCAGAACTGCTCTGTGAGATAAGTTAGGGCTGAGGGGCAGAGATTTAAAGGAAGGACACTCTAATACATAGTTGAGAGGGATATTAAGCTTCTAATCCTAATGGTTCACCAAGAATACCATCTCTTCCCAGCTTGGTCTCCTTCTGATACTTGTATAATGCTATGCCTGGATTCCCACATTAGGGAAAGCAATTCTGTATCATACTGCTTAAAAATGGAAGTATTAAGATAGATGGTACAGTATCAAATTGTAAATATTAATTTGAATAATTTTGAGATTATGAATAAACCAGTCATTGAGATATACCTACAATCATGTTTAAGGAAAGAATAAATACATTGAAACAGAAATATCACAGTTTAATTGCCTTGCTATAGGGAGGGTCAAATCAATTATATTATGCTTCAGTTATATTATAAGGAAAGCCAATGGAACAAAACAGACCAGTCTTCACTTATAAAATACTTATGTTCATTCAAATCAATTTAACTTGGAAGAAAGAATTTTAAACTTAAATAAATAGGCTAAGGAATAAAGTCCCAAGTTTCTTTTCCTGGAGAATAATTTAAACAACATTTGCAGGTGATAATGGGCGATAGGTTTATTCTGTGTAAGTGCATTGTACCATAAATCCCTTATAGCTATCTTCTTCCATTTTATTTTCTTTTGGAGATCTTACAAGAACTGAAGGGCCTGGAAAAACAGCCTATCACATCATATATAAAAACACTGAAGAATCCTAAGAGTGGAGACTGTTCTGGTGGCTTTCCACAAAATATACTTTGGGGTCCTCCAAAAATAAGGGCAGAACACTGTTTCCTTTAAACACAGGAACTGTCGGACCTTTACCCAAGAGACAGCAGTGTATCTCTCTGAAGAAACTTACTCAGCACTCCTAAGTTAGCAATGGAAGAAAGGCTTTTGTAAAAATCACTTTTACAAACAAAAGTGAAATAATGAGACAGTCAGGTATTACAGAATCTTGAAGCAAGCCTGCTATTTATAGCAGCCCCAAGATGTAAAATCTCACCTGTCTTTATGTAGTAGCAGATTTCGTGCTGCTCATTTCTCGCCTTTGGATGTGAAGGGCACCTGCACCAAATATTTGGTCTCAGGTTTTTGCTGCCAGTTGTCAACTTTGCGCCTCCTATCAGGTTCTCTCTTTGTTATCCCCAAGTTCTAGAGAGGATACCCCTGTCCCTTTGCTCAAATTTTCAAAGAGAAACTGGTGCCACATGGAAAAAGAGATGTCCTAACTCATGCATATTGGAAAAAGAGAAAGGAGATACAGTAGTTGAGCCAGCCCACTATGATAAGTATAGTGTGAAACTAACATGAGGAGAAAATAGAGTGACTATGTAGAGCAGCAAATTAAAACTAACATCCATAGGACTTCTGCCTAGAGCATGCACATGGATACTCTGCACGTAATACCTGAAGAAGCAGTAAAGCTGCATGTACATCAGAGAGGATATTTAATACCATTTCAAAGGAGCCAGAATTAGATTTTACTTGAAATGTTTGTTTTGGGTATTTCTGGTAATTTTAATAGATTTTTCTTAAATAAAACCAGTCGCAATGGATGAAGAAATGAAAAATAGATTGAAAATACTTCATCCGTTCAAGCAAACAAATCTTGAGCATGCATATACAGTAAATGTGCTCTAGAGAGGGAAGAAAAGAGATTGTGAAAAATAAGTGCGAGAATGAATAGCTGCAACTAATCAATTAACTATTATGCTTTAAAATCAGAAGCTGGTTTCCAAGAAAAAACTGTTACAGTATAGAAGAAAAGAGCTTCATTCTCAAGAGATCTTTATTTAGGATTTTCTTTTGTGGTGATCTATTTCAATTTAAGCCAGAGGTCCCCAACCTTTTGGACACCAGGGACCAGTTCCATGGAGAGAGGTTTTTCCATGGATCGGATGATGTGTGGTTTTGTGTGCTGCCTACATACTGTGGATGGGGCTTTGCTTGTTTGTGCAGACCGGTTGCTGGCATGCCGTGGCCCGGTACTGGTCCATGGACCGGGTGTTGGGGACCTCTGAATTAAGCAATTGCATCTCTAAAATATCACACATATTTTTGATTTTCTTATCTTTTGGATTGCACTGTGTAATAAATAGCAGTATAATACACAACCACTATATCCAAAGTTGGCTCATTCCAAATGTTAACAATTTTAGTTTGATTGTTTAGTTATGTGTCAAGTTTTCTTTATTATGTTGGATTTCTGAGGGTCGTGCGCCCTAATAAAGTTTGAGACAGAATTTTTGCAGTCTGTCCTCTCCCTTCACCTTCATTTCTCCTCTGTATCTTAATATAGTACTTCTGGAATGTGTTAAAACAATTTCCCATAACATTTCATTCAAAAAACTTGGTTTAAGTTCTGAATGAAACTAAGGTTACAAATTGTGATTTGGTTCTGGTTTATAATTCAGAAGAAATGGCAGACAGGAATTGTAAAGAGGCTGCAAAAGAAAAGAAAATGCAGAGAATACTGAAAATTCAGGAAGGGGAATGGGTGACAGGGACAAAGTAGAACATTTGGTAGACTGATGAAAGACCTTTTCTTGGTTGTAGCAATTTTTGGCTAGATTCCAAGGTGCTGTTATTGTCATTGGAAAGACGATATTAGCGCAAATGTATTAGAGAATCAAGGAACATCTCCCTCTCCCTCTCTCTCTCTCTCTCCCTTCCTCCCTTCCTCCCTCCCTCCCTCCCTCCCTCTTTTCCTTTTCTCTGTCTCACTCACTCACTCACTCCACAATATACTGCATACATGGTGGCTCATTTGGGAGCAGTAATGAATGTTGCCCAGATCACATTAACTAATAGAATTTAAGGGTTGCTTCCTTTATATGACTTGACTGAACGTTCTTAAAGAATGGTGCTGCCTTATTAATTCTTCTACTATGATAAGATTACATTGTAGGTAGTTGGAAAGGGATTATGCACAGCAATGAATTAGGCTCTTAGGGTCAACTGTATACAGTACAATTAACCTTGAAATAATCGAATAACCTTGATGTGCCTTCAATTTAGGATTCCTGCACCAACCTAATCCTTCTTTTTTGCAGTCCTTTCAATGACCGACCAATGTGCAGGATTTGCCACGAAGGCAGCAGTCAAGAAGATCTGCTTTCTCCTTGTGAATGTACTGGAACCTTGGGGACTATTCATCGTAGCTGCCTGGAACACTGGCTCTCATCTTCAAATACCAATTACTGTGAACTTTGCCACTTCAAGTTTACAGTAGAGCGCAAACCAAGACCATTGGTCGAGGTCAGTAATTGAGAGAAGCTTTTCATTATGGATTTTTTTTTTATACTGTACCGCAAGCAAAGGAAAATCTGGAGAGTTTAGAGTCAGAGATGAGGAGCAGAAGGACAGCAAGAGAATATTTATTATTTATTAATCAAATGTATACACTGCCTATCTCACTGTCTAAATGACTTGGAGTAGTTGAACAAATAAAAAACTGAATAAAAAAATTCAGTTATGAATCCTTTCAATTTTTAGCCAAGCCCATGAGTGATTAAAGTCAAATAGATGCCTTGGGTTTTATGTACCTTTATTTAACTATAGCAGAAAATATTTAGGATATATGTAATATTCTTTGATTTAGTGTAGGCATTTTGAAAGGAAATAAATGTATACCATATCAAGAGAAATATTAGTGTGTATTATAAATATATACTAAGAAATCACTTTTAAAATCCACTGAATAGACAAATGATGTGGGGGTTTTTACATTTTAAATATTTTTGTTGCATCTCTTTGTTGCCAAACAATGTCATATAAGCCAGTTGTTTTATTCTATTTGTTCATTCTAGCTGCAGTAATTTAAATAAGTGATTTAAATAAATTGAGCTGTATATAAAATGACAATATACTCACTTGACTGCTGCACTAAAAGCTTTTTGTTTTCTTTTGAAAGACAATATATTACAGGTCACTTAAAAATCAACGTGAAGCAGTGGATTGTGAGAATTCTGAATAAGATATTTTTCCACAAGTTATAAAAAATTAGTTGTGAAGCTGACAAGATAGTACTGTGTATTTTATTTTGTTTCAGCCAATATTATTTCACTGTTCAGAATCATAGAGCTGAAGGTACTTTAGAAATCTCTAGGCCAACTCTTCACTTATTGCAGGAGCCATCCGATCATCTCTGATATCCGCCATCTTTCTGAGGGCTTAGTGAAGGAGAACTCACTGCCTCACATGGCAGCCTGTCCCCTGGCTGATAGATCATTCATTCAGAAAGGTCCCCCTGATGCCTAACCTACGTTTCCTTCTTTATATTTTTAACTGACTGGGGCAAAAGAGAATGTTCACTCCAGTGTGACAGTCCTTCAGATGTTTGAAAATTGCTATATCACCCCTTCATTGTCTTTTTTGCAGGTTAAAACATATCTAGATTTTTTTAACTGCTCTTCATGGTTCTTTGCTGTTGTGGTTCCTTACTGAACTTGTTCCATTTTGTCCATTTTTTTAAACTCTGGTGCCCAGACCCATATGCAGCATTTCAAATAGATTCTGACCAGGGCAGAGTAGAGTGGAACAGTTACATCCTGTGTAATAGTTACTTCCTGGACTCTTTGCTTCTATTATTGTATCCTAAGATAGCATTTGCCTTTTTTAGCAGTTAAATTGCACTCTCACTCGCATTTAATTTCCGGTTGACCAGGACACCCAGATCACTTTCACATGTACTCCTGTCTTTCCATCCTATATTCTGTCCTACATTTTTGTTACCAGATGCGGAACTTTATATTTCTAACTATTACCTTCCATCATATAAATTACAGCCACTCAATAATTACCATCTAAAGTGATGCTATTAATGAGAACTCCTTAGGTTCAATCATTCAGGTAACTATGAGTTCATCTAACAATGATATCATCTACTTCATGTTTTACTCACTGATGACTAGCTGATGAAGGTTCTATTGAGGTCCAAATATAATATGTCTGTGGCCTTTCTATGAGGTATTAGAAAGTCTACTGAAAGGGGTAATATTAGTCAGACATTGATTTTGATAAACTGTATTGACTCCTGTTTAATTGTAGCATGCCAATTCAAGCTCTCACAAACATGTTGCTTGATAATCTGTTCAAGGACTTTGCTCAATATAGACATGAAGTTTTCTAAGATTACTGAGAACAGTTCTACGATCAATTCTGCTAATTATTTAACTACCCCAGGATATAATCCATATGGCTCTGGAGACAAATTCATTTACATTAGGTAGTTCTTTATTATTCTCTCCTTCTATGTTCAAAGCTGTAGTTCCTTGTTCCCCCAGTGGCATAAAATCACTACCTAGAGCTCTATTTTCCTTCTTGAAGAAGGCAGATATAAAATGGGATTTAGGAAGTTCTGCTTGCCATCATCCACACATTTTAACACTTTCTCTTAGCATTGGACCCACATTTTATAACATAACCAAAGAATGCTCTGTTTGTTGGATTTGGTATCTCTTGCAAGCCTCAGCTCATTTTGACTGTGTTAGCTTTTGTGGCAGAATTAATACAGTTTCTGGATGCCATCTTCTATATTCTTTGGTTCTCTTCTTCTTTTATTTCCTATTCGTGTACTTCCAGAACTATATGCCAGTCATGAGTATCATCTCAGCAAATTTCAGTGATGCTTATCTCATTACATTTGTCTTCCTGAATTAAGAACTCTGGTTTTCCTTTTTTATTCCCATATTTTTTACATTGATGCTAAAATATAAGAGGCTTTGAGTACCACCTACTAGTATCTCTGCAGTCTTGTCCTAAGAAGCTCCCAGCATCCTGCTTTTCATTTTATGTTTTGCTTTCTCGACCCTGTCCTTGGTTAGATATTCAATTCTAGACTTTTATCACCCCAGTTCGCTTTTGTTTTTGTTTAATGCCTTCCTGATTAGAGTGTTCAAAACACCGGCAAAACACTTCCCAGTTTTTGTAAGTTATCAATCAATCTCCAGAAGTCCTTCATGAGGGATGCACAGGCTACTGTCATAGAATCCAACCCTTCTGTTTGCGTAGCCATTTGTTGACTTCTAGAATCCTGTTTTCTCTTCTTGCCCCATGACCTTCAATTAAAACTGAGTGATGAAAAGAAACTGATTGATGAAAACACTGCCTGTACTCCAATTTCCTTGACTTTCCTTCCCAAATCCTTATAATGTCCGAATATTCTTTCAATTTTTTCTTGGCTCTGTCACTGATCCAGAATAAAGAGAAAAGAGCTCATATTGATAGGTTTAGTATTGGTAATTTCTTCATTGCATTCTCATATGGGCACATAGAAGGCTATTCATATAGCATTTATTTAATTAATTCAATTAGGTTTGTATGGCAACCTATCACATTATAGCAATTCTGGGCAGCTATTTTATGTCTGGACGTAGCTGTCTCAGCTCATCTTAGGAGGAAATCAATGACCACCACAAAACACCTCTTTCTTTCAGGTCAACTCTTGAGTCTTTTCAGTTCATAGAGCTTCATGTGTTTTCTATAGTATTCCGGGATAGTTTGCTCAGGTGGTTGTCCACTGTACTCCAGAAAGAGAGAGTGTAGTACCCATTCCAAGTTCCACTGGTATAAAATGACTCCTGATTTTCTTTCTCCCTTGCCAGGAATGATTAAGGGGTCTTAAGGCTTAAAATCTAGAAGAAATGACACATACATAAAAGGAATGGATAGGAAGAAGGAAAACAATGCAGGCTGAGTTGTTAGCTTCCAATAATGGAAACACCTTCTGAAAGACATCTACTCAGTCAATGCTGACTTTATACTGTACAATGAAGTCTCAGTTTTCTAACCTTTACTTAGAAGACTAAAGGTAGTCCTCACTTAACGACCAGAATTGAACACAGAATTTTGGTCATGTCATTGTGGTTGTTATGCAAGTCACATACGACCAGACTAATCTTACAACTGTTTTTATGATAGTTGTAAAGCAAGTCACCGCAGTTAAGCATTACCATCTAGTCATTAGCCAAATTCATTTTTCTTAATGGGTGTTTTTGCTAGAAACCAGCAAAAAAGCACAAATGACCATGGGACAGAACAACAAACTGTAAATGCAAGCTGGTTGTCCAGCATCGAAGATTCAATCAGGGGCAGAGGAGTGTAGCAGCCATAACTTTGTGGACAGGTTATAATTAACTTTGGGGGGGTGTCCATCATAACTTTGAACGGTTGTTAAGTGAGGACTACCCTTTCATGGCAAGTAAGATTCAGAGGGAGGTCTGTACGCTTTCACCATTTAATGAGTAGAGGAATATAATGCTTAGGCTTCTTACAAAAACAGGATTTGACAGATTAAAAAAAAATGCTTGATGACATACCAGATTTACTAGAAATCATAGGCATCCAGAGGGGAAAGGGAAGCAAGGAAATGACAGCATACGCCCGATGATGTAAATCAGAGAAATGCTGCAACCTTCATACTTCTATCGGACATTTTTGACAAATACATAGTCATGGCATTTTTAAACTACATGCATGTGTCCTTTTGGCATTACTGTAGCTTCTTACAGATACCACTGCCAGGAATGGCTATTCAGAATGGGACAACTCGTTGCAGCCAACTAGCCACAGGACAACTTGCCACAGCCAACTCACTGCAGGACATCTTGCCACAGGACAATTTAACAATTCAATTTAATTATTTAAAATAAATAAAAAAAATATTTTAATTTTTGTCATTCACGTGTCATTCTGTCCCTCTTTTTGCATCCGTTCTTTAATTATTCTATTCCACCATTTCTTTGATATTAGTGTAACTCTTGTCCCATGGCAAGCAGTCCTACAGTGAGTTGGCTGCAACAAATTGGCCGTGGCGAGATGGCTATGTCAGGTTGGCCATGGTCATAGACCCCTGGTTATTTACAGTTGGAAATGGGCCATCCCTTTTTGGATCTTTGCTGGATTTTGCTAATGGCTTGTCATTTAATTGTAAGCCACCTAGAGGCACTTTTCAGAGTGAGACAGGCAGCAAAACAAACAAATAAACAAACTCACTATAACAGAAAAGGCATCAGAAGCATCAATATTTCCAGATCAAAAAGCCCTGGATTTTTTTTTTCTCATAAAATAATTTGTTTGCCATGGTCCTTGCGATGGGTGAGGGCAGGGCTAGTCTAGCTGTGAAAGCAGTAGCAAATGAGGGATAGTGAAGCTGGTGGGTAATAATCTTATTGCCTGCAGTTATTCCTCTTTCACACAGACCTGCTTGTTCAGCTGTAGCTATAGCTGTATTTAACCAAGTCTACATTATGGTATGA